AGAGGGTGAGGACTGTGGACAACATGTTCCAGGCCAGGTGGGTTGGTCACTTGCTGGGGACATAGTGGGATTGTCAGGAAGAATTATAACAGATCCATTAAGAAACGGTGCTTTGTTCTCATTTTTATAGGACACCTGTGCAGACATTGTCCCTTTTGACCTTAGAATAAGCCCTGGTTGAATTAAATGATTCTAAGAGGGAAACGATCCAGGTCACAACCTGGTGAAGGCTGGTGAAGGCTAGACCTAAACACATTCCCACCCCATCTTTGCTTGTAAGGGCCATCTGTAAGCTGCTGGGGTTGAAAACCTGGCTGCATACTTTTATGCTGTACCATGTATATGCAGAGAAAATTTGGGCAAATTTCTTAACTTCTCTGTGCCTCAGTTTCCTCATTTGTCAGTTGGTGGTAGGTTTGCTGGATTCAGCCAGGATTGTGGGAGAACACATTGTGGGCAGATGTGAACTGGATTCCCACAGCCTTGAACTGAGGGGTGCAATAGTTGGACCCCATGGGCTCCCCAGGTTCCCCTCCTTTTTCAGTCCCAAGAGATAACTGAGACACTGAACTTCACTAGCCACTTCTGCAGAGTCACTAACCTGACAGGAACATGGAAACACTGAGTAGTTGACTCATGAGTGGAAGCTGGGGGTGGTGGTTAAGGGGGCTGTTCAGACCACTTGGCCTTGAAGGGTCAAGAGTCATCAGGGAAGGTTGTTTTGGAGAGATGGACTTAGTGTAGTTTACAGTAAAAGAATATTCTTTTGGGGTCTCCCTGGTGGCTCAGTGGGTTGAGCGCCGTGCTGTGAAGCTGTCTGCAGCTTCTGCAGCACAGGTTCTATTCCCGGCTGGCCAGGGAGCAACCCACATGGCACGACAGACCTCTCCTGTTGCGCCTGCTGCTCCCCTCAGCAGTGTCTTTGGCCTGTCTGCCTGTTCTCTCACCCCGCTGTGCCTCTGGCCTGTACCCCAGTTCTTGTATGCATAAATAAATCTTTAAAAAAAAGAATATTCTTTCATAATTCTGTGGTGGGGAGTGGGGTTTCAGATCATGAGTGGTCTATGAATGGGTAGCCATACATCCTGGGGGTCAGAACAGTCCTGGGGGTTAGACTTACTATTGGCAGTGCCCCCTTTCATTGTTAAAAGTGTTCTGGTTTGGATGATAAATTTTGTAGTCACTCCATTCTGAACCACAGGTCAGACTTGTTCCAGTAGAATTGGCTTCACCCTGGGTATGAAAATGTGCTAGGCAAGGCCCTCTTTTTCCTGGTGATACTGGCTATTCTGGGGGTAACAGGACTCAGGCTGGGTGGGGCAGGTCCAGAGACTTCTATGCATGAGTACAACACTTGGGAGCCTGGGCAGTAAGCCCCTCAACCTGGAGGGTGGGTGAGTGGGTTGACAGGGGGCAGCCTTGACTTTGGTCCAGCTGGCAGCATGGAGGCCTGGGCCGGTAGCCAGAGACCTGTGCTTCTTTGTCACCTGGATAGGAGTTGGGGTGGGTGATTTTAGCTAAAAGAGATATGAGATATTGGTCTGGCTGAACTTTTTAATTTTCTTAATAATGATAATAGCAATCAAGACTACCTTTAAGCAAGTCCCAAGTGTTAGGTATGTATGTACAACACACACCAACACTACTTAAGATAGTCCAGTGATCAGTGATATGAGATGAGACAAGGGAAGTGACGTTCTTACAAGTGGCAAGATTCAGACCCAGGTCCATTTGACCGCAGAACCAGTATCCTTTGCCGTTCTGCCCAACATTCTCTGTGCATCGGATCGGGCATGCCCCGCCCCTCAGCTCTGGTCAGGAGGCAGGGGAGGACAGACTTGAAGGGGACCTTTCTGTTCCTGTCTGTCCCTTGCTCTAGCTCTGCCAGGAAAAGGCCAAGCTCCAGGCTACGTGAGGAGTTCCTATGCTGTCTTTCATCCGGTGCCGCAGTTATTTGTTCAGCATGCAGTGCAAATTTCCCTGTCTCAAGACATGGAATCTGGTACAGCTTTGCCTGGATCAATGTCCAACCTCTTTCAAGTTCTGGAGAAAGTTACTCCTCTCCAAAGTTCAGACCTGCCAGACTCAATAACTCTACAAAAATGCTTGGATGAAAATTGCTCCAAGCAATCCCAGCGGAAAGCCAGCACCTCACCCCTCGTTTAAAGTTATGATCCTTATCATAATTAATTCAATAAAGAAGTAATGTGCTTCAACCTAGGCAGAGAGAATAATTTTCTGTCCTGACTGGTATAAACTTTCAACTCGGGACATTTAAACTCGGGGTCTGAGCTCTCACGGCAAGTAATAAATTGCAGACCCAGGCAGGGCCGCAGAACCTCGGTTTAAACTGCGGTAAATAGGCTGCTATTGAAGAGAGGAAGATTTGGATTCGGGTGGGCAGCTCCAATAAATAGCGGAGTGTTGTTTATAAACCCTGCCGTCGCGCTGGCCTCTGCCTTGAGACAGGCAGTAGCATTTGCTTGTTGAAAGCACCAGAGCGTTTGATCCTCGTGCTGGGAGGACCCACGTTGAGTTTTGAATCCATTTCCTTCCGCAATTGAAAAGTGGGATTAGCCTGGCTTCCTAACAGACTAACACGTTCTCAAGTGGAGAGACTGACTTGAAGATCAAGCCAGCCCATCCCAGAGTTACATTTCTTGTACTTTCCTGGGAGGTTGCAATGATTCAAGTTCGCGATTCAAGTTCTGAACAAGTTCAGAGTAATGAGGCTCCCATGCTGTCCCAGAAGTGCATTAGATTTACAGAAATTACAAGTCGAGCCATCAAAGTCTTTGGAAACAAGTAAGAATAGAAGGAAAGTCAATTTCAATCAAAACAGCGTTCAGATCGCCTATTATGGAAAGAGGTGACTTCAACATCCATTGTTTTCTGAAAATAATTCAATGATAGAGAGGCAGGGTTCTTTAAAGTGATTAAATTTGGGGCCATCAAGGCAGCTGTCAGACGCATATTCTTTCGTTTCTGGCTAAAGATTTTGGATACCTCCTTTGTGACCTGACAGCAAGTACGCATTCCAAAGCTCAAGAGGGCCTTTCTCCTCAACTTCGTGGGCTTGAAAACAATTGCGTTATCGCCCACATTCTGTTTGGTGGGCCTTGGCTCCGGCTCCGCAGAGATGCTCGGGGATGAGGCTCCCCGCATAACCATTCCAAGCCGCGCCCAGGCTTGCTCAGCGCTATATCCAAGACAAATAGCCGGTTCTGGAGAAGTGAATGAGCACACTCATGCATGTTAGCCATCAAAACACACAAAGTACACACACTGGCCGGCCCAACCTCTTCTTATACAGTAAGAAAAAAAAAATGTGAAGGACTGTCTCGGGGGAGGGAGCAGAAGCAGCCCTTGAAACCCAGATGGGGAGGAGAATCCTGGCAAGAGGATGGGACGGTGAAACCTGTCAGGTCTGGGTAGTGCTCCTGAAAGTCCTCTTCTGAGTGTAGAGAAATGTGGATAAATAATAATAAGAATTGTGATTTTTAATGCTGGGCACCCAATTAAAAAACAAAAAATAAAGAACAACAAGAGATAAGCACTCAAGTTTGCTTGGGGGCTAGTTCCAACACTACGGGTCCCACCCTGACTGTTCCTGGCTCATTTGGGGTCCAGCCCATCTGGGTGAGAGAGCCCATCTCTAGGTCCCCTACAGGCCTCCATGTCAGTGATGTCTGTGGCTTCTGTGTCTCTGACATTGTCTCCCTGTGAGTAGTGGCCTTGAAGACTTCCTGAGGCTTCTTCCCAGCGGATTCAAACAGACCTAATAATGTGGCTGAAACTGGGTACGAGAGGGTCCCCAGAATGAAAGTACAGGTTAGAGCAGCAACTGAAACCCACAAAACTGAGGCTCAGCTGCTTTCATGACACACACATTGGAGCCAGCATGTTTGACCAACGCTCTCAACCCCTGCCCGCGCCCCCTCCTACCCCCCAGTCCCTCTTGGATTGATTAAATTGGCTCAAGATGACACCAATAATTGGCTCAAGATGGGGCTTCGACAGGCCCAATGATCCATATCTTCACATTCCCTAAAATCAGTCCTTTCAGCTCTGTGTTGGATTTAGGATGGTTTACATTGGCTCCGTCACAAACATTTTAATAAAGTCCCAGAGAAACCGCAAACGGGTGACATCATTGGATGGTGTTAAAAAAAAAAAAAAGAGTCCTATTTTGTACGAGAGAGGCTGAGCCTTTCTAGTGTGAGCAGGGTCTGTCCTTTCTGCCTGGTCATTCAACAATCATCTGCTGTAATTAGGACCATGATATTTAAAACGGGGTGTGGTGGGGTGGGGGTGGCTTACAAAGGACATTAGCTAATAAGTCAAAAACAAGTATGAATATTTTGACATAAAGTAGCCAAGAAAATGAACAACTGGGGGGAGGTGTGCAGCCCCAGAGCTGAGGGGCTTGCAGCCTGGACTTTGGTAGAGGCACATAGAGCTTTACTGTAAGGACAGCCCTGGTCCCCTGTCCCAGAACATAGACAGGACAGCCGATCTGGTCCTGGAGCTGAGGACCCAAGGACTGGAAGGGGGACAGGGATTCTCACTAGGAGGACTGCTTGCTGAGGGCTAGGCTATAGGAAATTTTCATTTTCTTTATAATATTCTGTTTATTAACTCTGAACTTTCTATAAGGGCTTGTATTAGTTTTGTTATCAGGAAAAAATCAACAATGCCTTTTCAAAAATTAATGTAGCAATTTTGATTATGTCCAATGTTAATAATTACATATTAGACTGAAAATGTCCAATGAAATGCACTTTTAATATCATAGGTGGTTCTTTCTGGGTGGTAGGACTAAGAGAGTCTTTTGTGAATTATTTTTATAATAGTTGAATGCCAAACGAAACACTGAATCTTCAAGAAAATGAATTTGATTCCTTTGGACATGGATTGAGATATATATGTATATATAAAATATATAAAAATTTACAAGTTGCTCTTTTAGTTTTAGTGTATATTTTTAAAATACATTTCAGTTGCCTGATGATGAACTTATAAAAAGGAAGGTATTTTCACATGTGAGAAGTCAGCGTCCCTGCTGAGGAAGGTACCCACGCTGAGCTCGGCCATGTCAGGACCACACTGTCCGAGGTGAGTTGGTGTGCTGGGGGGCACCCGTCCTGTGTTGCTGCTCTCTCAGAAAGGGCTGGTGCATTTGATGTGTGGCTCCCTGTCAGCCTGCCTGGCTGAAGTCATGTCATAGATTTCCCAGAATAATCGATCCATTATGGCCATCACAATTAATTGACTTTTCTGTGACTCAGGGTCAACCTGATGCCAGAAACTACCTTGATCACTTTTTTTCATAAGTGATTTCGGGATTGTTTTGTTTCATTGCCTTTGTAAATGTATCCATAGTTTTATGGTTCACACTGAGAGGGGGATCCAGGGACCTTAGAGTCCATGTAAAAATGAAAGCGAAGGATGAAACACATGCATGCGTGCGTGCCTGCCTGTGTGTGTGACTCTATTTTTTATATTTCGGCAATGTATCTTTTAAAGGCTGGTTTTGGCCATGACTGCTTACTAATGCTGGGTCTCACCTCACTGAGGGGAATCAGGCTTGTAGGAAATACCTGTTGGTTTAACTAATATGAAAATTGGACCCTATTTCTTGTGCTAAACAAATGCCTTAAATTCATACCGTGTGCACTTCCTACTTTAGCTCCTGTTTGACCCCCAAATGTTGCTGTGTTTTTTTCCTTTTTCCCTCCCAGCCTAGTTTTTGTCTCTGAGAGAAACACAGGGAGAGGGCATGCAGGAATGAAACAGACAGGAGAGAAAATCCCTTTTTATTCCCCTGAGGGGTAGGGGTGTGACCTCTCCAAGATTCTCTTGTGTGTAAAATGGAAATAATATCCATTTCCCAGGGCCACATGCTGGGAGTCAAGCAGCCAGTGCAGACTCTGTTTTGGCCAGGTTGGTGGAGGTTGCTGAAGCTTGGAGGCAGAGGCTTTGTGGTAGAAGAGTTTTCGAAGAGGAGGAAGGAGATGGTGGTTTCTGTCACAGTCACTTCATTTTGGGAGAGTCACATGTTCTTTCTTGAACTCAGTTTTTCCACTGATAACACTTTGGAGACAAAGTGTGGAACTGTCAGAGTCTTGGTCAGGAGTCTGACTGCCCAGGTTCAGATCCTGGTCATGTGATATTAAATCACTTTACTGTATGTGCACATTTCCTACTCAGTAAAATGAGGGTTGTTTTGAAAACTTACGTGGGGATGTCCTTGGAGTCACACCCTTGTTGGTGGGATGAGGGTTGAGTGAGCGTCCACTTTGAATAATGATGGCTTATGGCTCTGTCGATTTTTCATTTCTGCTTCCTCTATCCTCAAATTTTCAGGAAAAAGCTGAGTTTTACTTTTATTCTTCAACTTTTAAGGTAACTGCAAACATATTGTTGAAGGAGAATGAAAGGTACTCCTCAGGCTTTAGTCTGCAATAACTTAAAGAAAGGGACCCAAAAAAAAAAAAAATACCCGAGGACCCAGCACAGCACTGTCTTGATTCTGTACAAATGTTCGCCTCCTTCAAAGAGGCAAGAAGGCAAGTCCTGCCAGATCTGATTGTGCAGACTTGGAGGATCTGATCGCCCGTCACTAAGGCTACTAATCAAATTTCCATCCAATATGCTCACGCAGGATTTCCTGATCAAACACTTAAGCCTGTCCCTCTGCACCCCCATTAGCTAACATGTTTTATATGCAGAGGGGTCATCAAAAGTGTAATTGCCTTAAAGAAACTTAATCCCACATTCTTGTCAACTCGAAGATAGCTAATAATGCTTGCGAGCTGATATTTTTCCAACATCAAGAGTGCACCAGAAATTAGGATCTTGCTCTTAATCTTCCTCATAGCAGATGTTGAAACCTATGTGGACTGATATCTCTCACAGGCCAGGTAGAAAAGATGAGTTTTCTCCGAAATTAGTTGGTTTTTCTGCACGTTGCTACCCTCGGTGATGCTAGGAGACAGGAACGGACTGTGCAGATCCAAGCCCAATGGTTCTGAAGAGCTGACGGAGTGTCATTCTGACCTCCAAGTTCAAACCTGGCTTATGAATGTTTATGAGGATATTGCTTCCATTTACATTCATATTAATTTGATCAGCTAACATTTTAGAGTGTTTGCTAGCTGTCTCATGAGAAAGTACCTCACAAAGTGAAAGTACAGCACAAGAAAGGGATTATTATGTGAGCATTGGGTTTAATGTTAGCTATTGTGTTTAATAAAGGTCGTTAAACACACAATGTAATATCAATATTTTTCCATACATACAATGATCATACTCTATACATGTTCTGCCTGACATTTCAGTATGTAGCATGCTTTATGGCTGTTAATATTCTGGCTTGGTCAGTTTATGAGGGAATGGCTTCCTTGAAAACAGATTATTTTTAAGCTCTTGTTACACAAAGGTGTTTCTCATGGTTGAGACAATTTGTATCCATTTCAAATAATTACTAACCGAAATGTTTAAGGCTGTCTCTTCTGTGTTTTCCCCTCTTTCTTTGACAAATTGAAACTGGTTTTGGTCGGAGAGGTTGTCCTATCCGTGTGCAGAAGTGCATGTCTGCATGTACGCATGTGTTCACACACACACAGATCCTCATGGACACACCAACAATGCCTCATTGGGACTTGTGGTTTGAATGAGAAAAGGCCCTAGTCAGGCTGAGACAAGCAGGTCAGGAAATTTAAACTGACTCTTCCAACCCCAGTCATCATCAGCAGGGTCTGAAAAGGCCAGTTTGTCAGAACTCCAGGATCCTTGGTGTCTGAGTGGCAAAACCGATTTGAGGTCCTGTCTGTTCTGTTCTAACATTTGCCCTGGACTCCACCCGGCACCAACTCTCCCCTGCTTCTGTGCATAGTGCCCCGTTTGCTCTTGACGGGGGTACAGGGTGAGTGTGATTACCCCTGACTCCACTTTGGGGTAAGGTCATAGGTCACCTGCATGGCCTTGTTTGAGTGCTTCAGGAGGACAAGGAAAATGTGTTCCTTGTGTTTCTAGGGGAGGACCTAGCCTGCCATGAGGGCCTTATAAAACAAGCCCTTATAACAAAGAGATGAATGAATGGTACAAGTTGTAGCTTTTGTGGAGGTTTAGGTAGAGATCCGTGAGGAATGGAGGGATCTCACTTCTTTTATTTATGGAGATTAAGCACCTCCCCAGATAAAACCCACCTCCAAAATCCATTCTCTGTCCACTAGTCAACTCTGTCCTCTCACCCCCCAAGGAAACACTGTACCCTGCAGGGAACACACGTGCATATGCTCACAGTCACACCTGCAGTGTACTTCAAAGACTGCATGCTCTGGAACTGTGCAGACAGAGGAGTAAGGACATTTTCCCTCTGTCCTGGATATTTCTGAATGGTCACCCCGAGAGGAAGCCCTCAGACATCACAGTATGTCTTAGATAACATGAGAAGGTGGTTTGGGAAAAGGGCTTTCTGAATTCCCATCAAGGCGTCCCTCCTAAGACCCGTAAGTACAGTCAAAATGGATAAATAAATTAGTCAAATAATAAAGAAATTGCAGGCTAAGTAAAATCAGGGTCCTGTTTTAAAAATTGTGGTTTTCTTTGATTTTTAATTTTTATTTTATATATTTTTTACATCATTTTTCGTTTTTGCAGCAACGTGGATGGAGCTGGAAGGGATCATGCTCAGTAAAATAAGTCAGAAAGAAAAAGAAAAATACCGAATGGTCTCACTCATAGCAGGAATCTAGAAAACCTAAATAAGGGATCAGGAAAAAGACTAATTATAATAAAGTAAAAATCAAAATCAACCGGCAACTATAAACCAGAGAAATTATGTGTGTGTTTTTTTTAAAGATTTATTTATTTATTTATACAAGTACTGGGTATGGTCAGAAGCACAGGAGGGTGAGAGAACCAGAGCCAGAGCGGGGAGCAGAGCAGGCAGAAGGACCGAAGTACACTGCTGAGGGGAGCAGTGGGCGGTAGGAGAGGTCTTTGTGCCATGTGGGACCCTTGCCCGGCAGACGGGGATCAAACCGCCGCTGCAGAGGCTGTGGGCAGCTTCACAACCCAGTGCTCAACTGCAGCGCCACCGGGGAGGCCCGTGTGTGTTTTTTAAATTGAGGTAACATTGTTATGCAACACTGTATATGATTCAGAGTTAGGTTCCAGGATCTTCAGGTGCATGTTACTACCCCACCCCTGCCACCAGGGCACCCACAGTCCTGTACCACAGTCCATTAGGCCCCCTCCACACTCTGCTTCCTATCTCCCCCCACCTCTGTAGTCTCAATTCTACAGTCAGATTTCTAGGAATTATTTTGATTTGGTTTCGTCTGTTTCTTTCTTTATTTATTTAAAGATTTATTTATTTATACAAGAACTTGGGTACAGGCCAGATTCTCAGGAGGGTGAGAGGATTCACCAGAGACAGAGTGGGGTACAGAACAGGCAGACTGACAAAATACACTGTTGAGGGGAGCAGCAGGCAAGGCAGGAGAGGTCTGCTGCACCATGTGGGACCCTCGCAGGCCGGCTGGGATTGAACCCCCGCTGCAGAGGCTGCGGACAGCTTCACAGTGCTGCGCTCAACCGCCTGCACCACCAGGGGAGGCCCTGTTCCTTTATTTTGTTTCTCTATATTCCAAAATCACTGTTCTTGCTGAACACCTTTATCTCTAAGAGAAATCTAGCCACCTTGTCTTTGTAACTGATTACTACCCTTAATCCTCTTCTGTGTACATCTCGAAGTGGCCTCTACTAACAAGTTTCGACATAGGGCATTTCATCCTATCTCACTTATTCAATACAGTTACTCTGCGTTTGTCAGACCCTATTTAGGAGCTCGGCACAGAGGTGAATAAGACATGGCCCAAGACCCCGAGGTTTTCCTGGGAGGCTCAAGTGCTTAGGCCTGCCTTGGGGTGAAAGGGTGATCAAGGTTTTTCCTTCATTTGGATTTGCAGCAAAGATGTGGCCATGCACTGAGCTACCAGAAGCAAGTAATTGTTCTCC